TGTTTGTAAACGTAAAAATTTAGGAATGGTATTAACATTTATAATCTAAACCCATACCAGTTCAATATTTGATTTGTTTTTAAATAACTCTAAACAAAAAAACAACGATACAATTTTGTTTTGGGCAGATGTACACTAAAACAAATAGTAAAAAAAATGTGGTTTGTATATTTCGAGACAGAAACAATGACTTGTGTGTCCTAATATGTCATGTACTCATGTTTTCCATCTCATATCTATTTTAATAATAATTTACTCATTTAAGATGGTATATGTTTTTCGAACATATAAGAAAATAAGTTAACGATTTAAACTTACACGTAAATGTGGGGTTTTATTTGTTGATATATTTATTCTCTACAGCGTTTATAACATAAATTAATCTTGGTTTGCTTTCATGAAGTTTGTAAATGTCAAATCGACATGATAGCGGATCCAGATTGAGTGTAAACTGTGAGCTACAAACATGATTTAAACAATGTAAAAAAATTAAAAAATTTGCCCCCTGATGGCCTAAATATATTTTTCAATGGGTCAAACACGTTCCTATGCATGCTCCACACTAAAAATATTTTTAACTCAATATAGGTTAAAGTAATTTGTCCCGCAAAAAACAGATTTTGTGTAATCCACATTAGTAACTAGTATGTCCGCATATGTAATCTAAATTTTTTGTCCCATATTATATCATGAATAGTTTAGATGATATTTTTATGTATCAAATTACATGTACCCGTTATTTCATGTTTTGATATTTGAAATAAATTTGGAAAGTTAAAAGTGAATTTAACAATTCAAATTCATGTTCATGTATCATACTTGTTATTTGATATTTGAAAATTGAAATTGAATTTAGGGGGTGTATCCAAAGTAGAATTTAAAGTGTCTTGAGTTTTCATTAGGAAGTTCGTATTATTTTTTTAAATTGTTAAAATAACTTATAGAAATTAAAGTAAAAAATATTTAAAATATGTTTTAAATGATGTATATTCATCTATAATATTAATTGAGAATCACAAATAGGAGATTGTCTAAAAAGTTTATAATTTAAAGATTAAAAATGGAAAACTATTGAAAACTTTACTAACAATTGTAAGTGTGAAATTATATATTATTTTTAAGCTAAACATAATTACGATTATCAGTATATGAACTATTTTAATACTTTATCTGTTTCATTTTAAGTGATGTTTAAGGTTGTTTCACACAGATTAGAAAAACATATATTTTTTTCCATAAAAAACCATTAAGCACAATGAATTCAACCAATAAGAAAATATGATGTATAATATGATTGGTAAAAATTATTAAATACATTAACTATTTGCATAGAAAATTGAAAACATCACTTAAATTGAAACAAATGTTTTAGGTTAAAACATCTATTAAAATGAAACGGATGGAGTTTTGTTCTTTAATTGCATTCGTAATTGTTTTTTATTCTTATATTTAAGTTTTCTTTTCTATTGGTAATGTCTATATTTTAGATGGTGATAATTATTATTTTGTGCACATTTGGTAAGTAAACATGGATATGAAATTTTTTTTTTTAAATCAAAATATAGTTGGTATTTAAAATCATATCTGTTAAGATTCAGATTATGAATTTTTATATTGCTATATATTTAAAAGATCTCAAATATAGTTAATATTTTATTGATTGAACTGTTATATATGTGCTAATTAATGGAGATTATTTTTCTTAATAGATTTTCCTTATTTTGAGTATTTTACAAAAATATAATCTGCTAGAAATTAATTGGAAAGATCGAAACAAAAGATTTTGACAATTTAAAGATCCGAATTTTTTTAAAAAAATATCGGATTGATATGTTTTAAGGAGGTTTGGCTATAGATTTGGGATTACATAAAATGTAACTCTTTTTTAAGATTATATAATTTTTGAAAATTTAATGACATAACTATTTATGTTGTATATTTCGCCACATTTATGCTCTGTACAATTGTATTAGTCGATTATTCCTAATCTAACATAATTACTTGATCTTTTTTTCATAAAATATTATATTTTATTTTCAATTATATATGATCATTTTTATTAGATTTTATTAAGTATAAATTAATATTTTTGAAAATATTTCAAAATACATAAAACTAAAATTAAATATACATTTAGCTATTTTTAATTTCGAATTTAATAATCCAATTTTTATGCTAACCAAATCAATATTATTTCCATAAATATAGTAGATAGTTTTTATTTTTTATTTATAAAATTTTTTTTTGCTGTCTTTAAATGTGTTAGGCTACATGGTTGGGATCACATTTTATTTCATTTTTTTTATTTAATCTTGTTTGCAACACTCACAAAAAGTGTTCCCCTTTTAATAGTTTACTAGATTTGGACCCGTACGTACGTGCGGGATTGATTTCAAAAACTAAGTTTTCTATCATGTTTACAAATATATTACATATATGCAGGGGTATATTTGTAAAAATAATTTTTAGGAATGTCATTAATTAACATTCATAATCCAAACTCATACCCGTTCAGTATTTGATTTGTTTTTAATTTGGTTTAGACAAAAATAGTGATAGGATTTGATTTTGTTATCGGTAAAGACAACTACATTAAAAAAAATGCGTAGTAAAAAAAAAAGAGGTTTGTCTATTTTGGGGACGAAACTCCATCTCGTCCCATCTCCTCCTAGATATGTCATATTATTCTATCTAGGAGGAGATGTGTTCATAATCATGATTTTAATAATCAGCTAAATTTCTATTGAACACATGAACTATCAAACTGGATACAAACAACAAATATATATATATATATATATATATATATATATATGTTTCCTAACCCGGAAAACCTAAATATAAATGTCAGGTAGGTCAATGTCGTTTGCTACGCATGCTCTGCAACAAATTAAAATGTTCAACACGCAAAAAATCCATTCCGCATAATACATATTAGTGAATGGTATGTTCGCATGCGTTTTGTTTGAATTATTACCCCTAAATTTTTGACCCCTATTTATTAGGAATAGTTTTCTTTTCCAAATTACATGTTCCCTTTTCATACCCGTTATTTCATCTAGTTCTTAATAGTAAATAGTATAAAAGCATTTGTCCTGCTTGAATTCCCGATACTTAAAATTCATGTTACCAAAAAATTTGTGTTACTTAGAAGTTTGTCTCATATTTTATCAGGAATAGTTTAGATAATGGTTTTTGCTTTCAGAATTATGTGTTTCATTTCCGTCTCCATTATTCCATGTCTCGTCTTTGTTATTCTAAGTTATGTATTGAAACATTTTGATAAGTTATCAACCCGTATATTGTATTTTATTTAGAATAGTTCAATATTTTCATTCCCGATATTGGGAATGAATAGGTGTAGAAAAATGATTATCTAATATATAACTACCATAACTAATAGATTTTGAGATAGTAAAAAGAGATCGAAATATTTATCTAATTTTTCCAAAAACTATATTCTCAATATTATACTCCGATTCATCGGCAAAATTTGTGAGAATTTAACTCTTCCAAAAACTTTAAAACAAAATTATTATCGGTAAATTTTCCCCTACCATTTTTAGATATATAACGAATGATTTCTTAATAATGTATATATTAATTATTATATATTACAGAAAATATTTTTTGTGAATTTTATTATTATTTATATTAAATTAATTAATTCTGAAAATATCTACTAATATATCAAATAATAGTGTGTGTATTTATTATTTATAAAATCGGTTGAATTTAAATTGAGAACATTGCTCCATAAATTTTAATAATTAAATCCATTTCTTAAATAATTAATAAGAAATTGTATGGATTCTCAAAATTGAGTTATTGTAATAGGATTTCCTAAATTATTAATCGCCCATGAGGAATGTTTGATTACAAATTTATTTTCTGTTAAAATGACATTATATTTGTTTTAAAAAAGATAGATCATTGAAATATATTACGATTTTATAAATTATTTAATTCTAATTGCACCATAAGTAATGTTTGGCATAAATATATTTTCTATTAAAATAACATTATATTGTTTCCTTTTTTAATAGATTCTTTAATATATTTATTTTCTGTTAAAATTATTTATTTTGCTGTCACTAATTCTGTTTGGTTATAGGTTTAGGATTACATAAAATGTAATTTTTTCTTTTTGATTGTGTTTGGTTTTAAAGATAAATAATGCTTCCCTTTTAATAGTATAGATTATATTGTTTCCTTTTTTAATAGATTCTTTAATATATTTATTTTCTGTTAAAATTATTTATTTTGCTGTCACTAATTCTGTTTGGTTATAGGTTTAGGATTACATAATATATAATTTTTCTTTTTGATTGTGTTTGGTTTTAAAGATAAATAATGATTCCCTTTTAATAGTATAGATATAATATAATTTTTGAATATTAATGACATAATTATTTATGTTGCATATTTCTCCACATTTTATGCTCTGTACAATTTTATTAGTCGATTATTCCTAATCTAACATAATTATTTGATCTTTTTCATAAAATATTATATTTTATTTTCTAATATATATGATCATTTTTATTAGATTTTATTAAGTATAAATTATTATTTTTTAAAATATTTAAATACATATAACTAAAATTAAATATATATTTAGTTATCTTTAATTTCGAATTTAATAATCCAATTTTTATGCGAACTAATAATCCAATTTTTATGCTAACCAAATCAATATTATTTCCATAAATATAGTAGATAGTTTTTTTTTTTTTTTTTTTCAATTTTTTTTTGCTTTCTTTAAATGTGTTTGGTTATATGGTTGGGATCACATTTTATTTCATTTTTTTTTATTTAATCTTGTTTGGCAACACTCACAAAAAGTGCTCCTCTTTTAATAGTATATAATATGATATAAATTTAATCTATTTGGGATATTCTATTATACAAGAAAAAGTAGAGGAAACCATTGTAGCAAAAGTCACCTCTATTATAGAGTTCCTCTATTATAGAGGCAAAAATAGCAAAAACCATTAGAGATGGTCTTATCTAATATCATTACAACCACCACCACCATCCTACCTCCGGCCACCACCACCACCACCCAACCACCGGCCGCCACCACCATGCCGACACCACCACCTCCGCCGTCACCACAGTCTCCGGCCGCCACCACCATCCTCGGCCATCACTACCTACCTCTGATCCGGCCACCACCACCACTCTACCACCGGCCGCCACTACCGCCTCTGGCTGCCACCGTCTCTGACTGCCACTGTCTCCGTCTGCCACCGTCTCCGGCCACCACCACCACCATATCTCCGGCAGCCACCACCTCCTCCGGTCACCACCATCTATCACAGCCACTACCACTGACCTGCAGATCAATTGGTAACAGCTTGTCTAGTGGGAAGGTTGTTAGAGGGTGAGGACCTGGGTTCGAGGAACGTCAGACGCACCAATAACCTACATGGTGGGCTTGGAGTGCATGTGGGCCAGGAAAGAGCCTACATGCACAGATTGGGCCTACAGGAGAGAGGTTAAGGTCGATGCGTTGGAGCGCTGTAAGGATGTCATGTGGCGGGGTGTGCCACATGGCGGAGAAATCCCACTTGGCGGGTTGTTATAGTTGGCAAATTGCCCCAAATATATATACAAATACAGAAAAAAAAAATTTTTTTCTTTCTCTCACCAAAACACACTATCGCCTTAATTCTAGCTATTGAAGGAGAAGAAGGTATCCAAGTGCAGCATGGAGAGGAAGGTGTTCATGATAAGCATGGAGAGCATGGAGTGCCGTTAATAGTGAATCTAATAGGGTCGGAAGGAATTGCCCATGGTAGATCTATCTTTGTAACAATTCTCAGAATCTGCAATAATCAATAAATTTAAAGACGTGAAAAAAAACACACAATCACGTTTCTTTTTCATCTATCTCACAAATTACAACTAATAAATGTGAGTCCTATGTTTATTTCCGAAAATATGAATATGATATATACTATTTTACTAATTATATTGTCAAAACGTACTAAGGCCATGTACATCGGCGTCATTAGCCGAAGTCCCACACAATAAACCATTTAAATTTAAATCAAAAATTGAATTAAACCGAAGGAACGTTCCTTAAATCGGGAAATTTTCACCTCGTCCTTTGTCCAACGTGGCATTCGGTGATTGGTGGTCGGGTAAGTGTAGGTCAAATTTTTTTTCGGGGTCTCCTCGTGTTCATTTCTTCTCTTCTCTCTCTCTCTCTCTCTCTCTCTCTCTCTCTCTCTCTCTCTCTCTCTCTCTCTCTCTCTCTCTCTCTCTCTCTCTCTCTCTCTCTCTCTCTCTCTCTCTCTCTCTCTCTCTCTCTCTCTAGCGGCGAAGGGCGATTTGGAAGGCGATTGAAATCGGAGTCCAATTTCTGCAATTGGAAGCCGAAATTGTCCTCGTCTCCGGCATAGAAATCTTCCTGAGAAAGCAGAACCCAATCCTCCGCCGATATCAGACCATGTACATCGGTAAGATTTCGAAATCCTCTAAGAGTTTCTGGGGATTTGGTTTGATTATGCATGGGTTTTGTTGGTATAGGTGATGTATATAGAGTTTTTATGGTTTTCGTTAACATTTTGATTGAATTGTTGGGTCTAAAAAATCGATTAGGGTTTATTGTTTGAGATGCGATTTTCGGATCTAGGTTTTCAAATTTTGGTTTGTTTCGAAGTTCCGATTTAGTCATTTGAAACAGTTTTAGTGTTTATTTGGCTATGTTTATGCTTTGGTTTCGTTAAGGTATCTCACCAAGTTTTCAATTTTAGATTGATGGAATTTGTTTGGTTTGTGATACGATTTATAATGTTGAAATTATTTGATGTATTCATGTAGGTGAGCTGAAGCATAAGGAGTGAAGAAGCACCAACTTCATTGACATTAAAAGGTAAAACTAATTCCTTTTTACCATAATCAAAAATGATATGGCAGGTTATGTGCTAGTTAAGTTTAGTTGATAAAGAATTGGTTGTTGTTTGCGTGGTGAAAGTGATATAGTTAGGCTTGTTATTTGCTGTATTGATGTTGTTTGTGTGTACTAGCGAGTTAGGTCATTCAGTGAGCTAAATTGCATGAGCAGTAAGTAGTTAAAGAAGGTGAAATATCCAAAGACTTGTTGTTTGCTGTATTGATGTTGTTTGCGTGTACAAGTTAGTTAGCTCATTCACTGAGCTAAATTGGATGTGTAGTTAGTAGTTAAAGAAAGTGAAATATCCAAAGACTTGTTGTTTGCTGTATTGATGTTGTTTGCGTGTGCTAGCTAGTTAGCTCATTCACTGAGCTAAATTGGATGTGTAGTTAGTAATTCAAGAAAGTGAAATATCCAAAGACTTGTTGTTTGCTGTATTAATGTTGTTTGCGTGTACTACCTAGTTAGCTCATTCACTGAGCTAAATTGGATGTGTAGTTAGTAGTTCAAGAAAGTGATAAAGTTAGGCCTTTTTGAGATTAAATGCTTCTGTAATAGCTAGTTATCAAAAGTGACTGAGATTTATTGCATAACTTCTGATTAAATGCTTTATTGAACAACTTATAAAGATGAAAAACTTTCTAATCTGGTAGAGTTAAATGTACATAACTTCTGATTAGACATTTGTAGTTAGAAGACTTATTACTTGATAAATATCTCACCTATTAAACATAATAGCAGCCTTCTCTCCTCTTCTATCTCTCCTCTTTGTTCAAACCAATAACCAGCCTTTCTTTCTATACTTATTTTCCTTCTCAATCCGTTTGATATAGATTCTTACAGTCCATATCCTCACTCATCTAGTTATTTAGAGCTTCTTAACAGTCAACAAGAAGCTCAAAACCAAGAAAACTCTTCTTATGAGAGTTTTCCTCCTTTTGCCTACAATCTTGCTTCAGATTTACCAACTTGGAGCTCACAACCATCAGATGCCACCCCTAGTTCTTAAGAACTACCAGTGATTCTCAGGGAGAGAAAGAAATGAAACCCGGCTGATGATGAAGTTCTTATCAGTGCGTGGCTGAACACTTCTAAGGATACAATCATTGGAAATCAACAAAAGTCAGGAAGTTTTTGGAAAAGGGTAAGAGAGTATTATGCTAGCTCTCCCACTTCCACAGAGAGTGGTCAACATGGGCTCAATGTAAACTGTAAGCAGAGGTGGCACAAGATCAATGAGTTCACTAACAAGTTTTATGGTTCATATGCAACGGCAGAGAGGCAAAACAGTAGTGGACATTCATAGAATGATGTGCTGAAGGTGGCTCATGACATCTACTACTCTGACTACAAGACAAAGTTCACAATGGAACATTGCTGGTGTTTGTTAAGGTTTGAACAGAAATGGATCAATCTCAACACTATCAACAGTCAAGAGGAAACCACATGAAGAAGGTTCACAATCAGCAACCAGCAATTTTCAAGATTGTGAGATAAGACCTGAAGGTGTCAAGGCTAAAAGGAGTAATGCTCAAGGGAAGGCTCTTGCTGAGTATAAGAGCATGTGGGAAATCAAAAAGGAGGAAATGGCTGAAACAGAGAAACTATAAAAGCTTGCTATACTAGACACACTTCTTGCTAAAAAGGAACCACTAAGTGAAAGTGATGAAGTTATCAAGCTTAAGATAGTGGCTCAGTATTTCTGATATTTCATGTCTTAGTATCTTTAGTATTTAAGTTTCCATTTTCTGATTCAGTTTGTTTTGTTAACTCGGCTTGTGTTATGTATGTATGTGATATTATCATTATGATATCTTTTGTGATGTTTCTATGTTCTATTATCATGTATGAAGCTTATCATATATATTAAATGTTGTTTGCTTGGTGATTCACTGTTATTTTCTGATTGTGAGCCTGATTTCATACTGAACTTGATTGTATTTTCAATGTGTTGTATCTATTTCAACTTGATTTCATTATGAACTTGATTCTAAAATGAGATTTGTTTCTGTTTTGTGAAGTTGAATCATAGATGGGCCATGACTACAGCTATTCTCAGCCTGATTCCAGACCAGAATGATATGCATGACGACAGTGAAGACAAGGAAAGAGAAGCCTTGATACTTATGGATGAAGGTGAGAGTAGCTTGATCAGTGCTCATGCTATTCTCATGGATGAAGCTGAGAGTAACTTCCTCCAAGCTTAGGCCAGTCAATACCCTCCTCAACCTGAGGTTGAGTTTAGATTTCCAAAAGTGTGCTACTGTAGTGGGAGGCCGCTTCTAACTACTTGCAGTAACAAGAATGATACAGAAAGAAGGTAAGTCATGATAAGTCTCTTCTTCTAATATTTTGTTGTTGTTATTGGTATTGTTGAATAATTCATTTTGTCTGGGGTTTCGGTAAATGGCAGGTTCTTCACATGTCATAATGTTGAAGATGGAGAGATGTATATTCACAAGTGGTGGGATGAGGCTGTAATGGAGGAGATGAGAGACATGGACAGACATTATGAGGTGTTATCTGAGAAGGTAGATGGATTAAACTACCTCACTGACTATGAAACTGAGAAGAAACTACTTCACTTAGAAATGTTAGTGTGTGATCTAGGTAAGAAAAATCTAATGTTTAGAAATGGATCTGAGTTGGTTGTTGGTATAATAGCTGTTGTTGCAATTGTATTAGCTTTGTTGGTAATGTTTAAGTAAAACAGCTTGCATTTCAGACTTGTAATAACATTGTTGTTCACGGGTATGTCTCTGTTTGTATTGACTCGATTGTTCACGGGTATGTCTCTTTTTGTATTGACTCGATTGTTCACTGGTGAATTGAAAATAGATGTTGTACACGAGTGTTCTTTAAATATATGTGTTTAAGTCTCTATTCACTCGATTGTTGCTCACAGGTCTTTTTTATGACAACCAAACAAAACATTTGAGAAGAGACTACACTCTATATATATGCAATCCATTGCATTGAAAATACAAACCATACAAACTCTTCTCTTATTCTTCTAAACCACTACTTCCCTTTCAATACTTCTCTTTTTCTTCTAAACCACTACTTTACTTTCAATACTTCAATCTCATTTTCTCACTTTCTTTTGCAAAAAATCATGGCATCATCTTCAAATCATTTTCACTACTAAAGAGATGAGTATGATGCATTTGATGCGTATTATCAACATTTTCAAGAAAATTATAATCTCTTGGAAGAACCGACCGAGCCAAAGATACGAGTTTTTATTCAAAGAAATCGTGAAGAAGGCCACAATAATCTTTGGAATGATTATTTTAGTGACACTCCAACATACCCGCACAATTTATTCTGGCGACGTTTTCGATTGAACAAGCCATTGTTTATGCGTATTGTGCAACGTCTATCTAACGAAGTCCAATATTTCCAACAAACCCAAGATGCTGCAAGACGGGCTAGCCTTTCACCAATACAAAAATGCACTGCAGCAATTTGTCAATTGGCATATGGTGGTGCGTGTGACATGGTGGACGAGTATATACGACTTGGTGCTTCAACAGCTCAAAAATGTTTGCACGAGTTTATCGCTGCAATAATCCTATTCTTTGGCGATAAATACTTAAGACGTCCCACACATGAAGACCTACAAAGACTACTCCATCAAAATGAGTAACGTGGATTTCCCGGGATGGTTGGGAGCATTGACTGTATGCATTGGGGGTGGAAGAATTGTCCCACTGCTTGGAAGGGCATGTATTCACTATCTACCGGAAAACCTACAATTGTGTTGGAGGCGGTAGCTTCGTATGACCTTTGGATTTGGCAAGCATTTTTTGGAGCTCCAGGTATTATGAACGATCTTAATATTCTAGATCAATCTAATGTCTTTTATGACATTATAAACGGTCAAGCTCTGGAAATCAACTTTTTTGTCAACGAAAGGGAGTACAATTTGGCGTACTATCTCATTGATGGTATTTATCCAAAATGGGTCACTTTTATTCAATCTATCCGACTTCCACAAGGTATGAAAGATTCACTCTTTTCTAAAAAACAAGAAGTTGTGCGGAAAGATGTTGAGCGTGCCTTTGGAGTCTTGCAAGCTAGATTCGCCGTTACCAAAAATCCTTCTCTTTTATGAGATAAAAACAAAATGGCAAATGTTATGAGAACATGCATAATACTTCATAATATGATTTTGGAAGATGAATGTCATACATACAATCTCCGTAAGGTTTCTGAATTTCAACACGGATAAGATGTCGATCAAATATATACTGTTGGTACCGCCGGTGTGGGTTCAAATATCGGCACAACGATTACTCGTCGAACAAGGCTTCGGGATAAACAAGCTAATGAACAATTAAAACATAATTTTATCGAGCATGTTTGGACTAATTTTGGACATCTTCCAGAAAAAGAAGATTAATTTTCAAATTTCTATGAATTCAATAAAATGTTGGTTTAATCTTTGTATGCTTTATGTTTTATAATTATAATGTCTTCTCATGGTTCTTTTGTTCCCTATACCTCTGTTGTTTTCTTTTTTTCTGTGTCTTTGCTTTTCCTTCTTGTACTGGATTTATGTGGTTTATCACTCATACAATGCAAAGCGTTAAAAAAAAAAAACTATGGGACCAAATAATTGTCCCAACCAATGCCCATGCTCTAAAACTCCAAAAATCTCTTATTGTAACTGATGCTAAATTGCAAAGTAATTAAATCAATTATTATTAAAAAGTAACTAAAACTATTATCGTTTTAAGTTATTGATACAATTTAAGTGATGCAATTGACTTTGTTTTAATAGTACTGAGATTCCAACCTAATTTTTTCTTCTCTTGTATAGAATACGAGGGAAATAACCCGCGCTTCGCCGCGGTTCACCGGATAAATATATACCGTTTGCGTTATATTTTGAAGACGAAGTGATATTATCACTTAGAATAACAAAAAGGAAATCAATGTGATTATCAATTCATGTGTTTGTAGGAACTTGAAAGATAAATTCGGCCCATTGTTTAAAGATCATCAATGTAATGGTAAATGTTTATATATCAAGCAGTAGACCGAAAGTTCTAAATTTTTTAACCAAAACCTGATATAAAAATCAAAAACAACATAGTTCTTACATAATATATCCGATGATTCATAATAGCCTCTAACCAAAATATAAACTGAAACATAATATTGGTCTTATGAAGGTTTCAATATACACAACATCGTAACATGCATAAGCAGACCACTTGGTTCCTATGCGATAGCTGCATTGAACCTGTCTTGTACTCATTCCTTAGCAGATAAACCGAAATGGTAGGTTGCAGCAAACTCAGAGCTACAATTTACATTGTAGATATCCAAGTTGGTTAGAATCTATATTAAGTAGACAACAATGGGATATCAATATTCTTAAAACAATACTTCTAAACTTACTTTATCGTGTGGTTTTCAAGACCATTATTGGTTGGATTCAGAAATGTTCTTGAAGCTCCACTATCACATTCAGCATCATTCGTAATACAGGGATTACCTAGAAAGAGTAAAGAACAAATGAAATTCTAATATTTCCTAATCCGTCTATTCTCAAATGTAAATCATTCAAATAGAGTGAAAGCTTTCTTTACTGTGATATGTAGATACTCTCCAAAATCTAAGGACACAGAAGACCGGATGTATTTTGTAACTAATATTGTAACCCTTTGATCTCCACTCCCTTAAGAAGTTCTGACCACTAACTCCTCTAATATGACAAATGATTTTTTCATTCCTGAGTAGGGCAATTGTATATAGTTAGACTAATTTATAAGCAAAGTTTTCAATGTAAAATGTAAGTACGCATAAGTAACGTTTATTAACGTACCTTCCATTTATCACTTGGAAAACGAAACCGTTGACTCCATAAGCATTACCATACTCATCCATCTTTCTAAACTCTTCTTTCAAAGGACCAACATCAATAACAGAACCGTAGAAATCTAGCATGACTCGCAAGAAGACAAACTTATGTTAAAACTTATTACTTTAAACATACTGAACTTTTTACACAATGCTGTAAAATAAAAGCAAACTTACCATACGAATTATTGAATGGGATGATTCCTTTGAAGACATGACTAAAATCTTCAAACCAGTAGTAATCTCAGGTGGACAGAGTTTCTAGGATCATCATGTCTGTCTCCTCAATAAACTTTATCTGGTAATGATGGCTAGTGTTCCGTTCTGGCAAGACTGCCTTGATGACCTTGAAATTTCGAATGTTATACCATTCCCCATCGTAGATATGATTAGGAACAGAGTGTTTGGAATTCTTGCAGAATATAGAAGCCTCAATACGATCACCCTACAATTAGAATCCAGTATTTGTTCAATTGTTATATCTAAACCAATCAATATAACCTATTAAGCAGTTCTAGTGATTAATATGTTATAGAGTTCTGAAGAATTGAGTTTAGCACAATTACATTTAGAATTCATCTACTTAGAACGTTATGTCCAACCATGATCACAATAATCGAGTTTTGCTTAAATTGCTATATGTAAACCATTCAACTAATCGATTCAATGACTATATGTAAGTTACAAACAAATGCTATATGTAAATAGAATAGATACTTACCCTTTGATCAGCAAGGATTAAAACCCTTTTTGTCATGAAATCTCTCCTGTAAGCAATACTTAAAATCTTCACGTCTATGTTCCAATCAGTCTTCGACGGATTCAAATTGGCTATGCAATCTCTACGCATTTTGAAACGCCGTGTAGAATATTGTGATTTTTTTTGAAGAAAGTATAGAAGAAGAGATTTCGTGTTTAAGAGTTTTATCGGTTTCACTATTGCCAAATAGATTCACAGTTGGAAGAAGATGAAAAGTCTACAAATGAAACAATATATATAATCATTAATCGAAATAATGCGTCGTTTCTGTTTTCAATTAAGTTTAATTTTTCACTTTTTGTATAAAACTATTATTGCGTGTGACATTATTATTTTGTATTCAAATCATAAATAATAAATTAGATTTGATTAATGTTGATTATTTTTGATAAATTGGTATCTTAAAGATTTTTTTAACACTAATCGAATTTCCAAATATATTCCGTACATTAAATTGATCGGTTAATGGACTAACAATTTTAAATTTTAGCTAAAATATTAGTAATTTTATTAAGTCTCATTTTTAAAAATCAAAAACCAATAGTTTGATAGATTCAAAATTTAAAACAACAACAAAATAAACGCAATAGCACTCTTATTAAAGTTTGGAAACAAAAAATATCTTAAGAGGATGCATGGTATTGCTTATTCGTGCATGGGAAGGTAAACACGTGAAACTTTAAGAAGGAAATCCAAGTGTTTTTTAGAGTTTATCAAAGCATCAGTTAAAAAAAAATAACAATGTAAACTACTATTAAAACTTTCGAATTTACATCTTCATATATTTTAAAATTTTCATACTCTATTTGCTAATTATAAAGAAACTTTAACACCTTAAATACAATTCTTTAGTTGTAATGCATTTTTTAAGTAGCGAATATAAGTTTTTGAGAATTTATTTAGAAAATACATTAGGTTTATTCGATAAAAAAATGAAGAGATTAACTATACAAAGCAAAATTATTCAAGAGTGCAACAAAAAAAGTGGATGCATGATAATATTTATTCTTACATGAAAAATAAAGCACGTAAAACTGGAGATGCAACAACTTGATACGTAACTAAATGTTATCAAATACTTCTTTAAAAACTACGTTAAGAGTCTTGTTTTGACATGCCCCATCTTCATTCGTAATCAAAATCTTCAATCCTTTTCTCGTCGTCACTCTAGATAGTGCAACATATAGTTGTCCATGTGTAAAGACTGGCTTTGGTAAAACAATCCAACGTATTCCAACGTTTGACCTTGGCTTTTGTTAATAGTAATTGTATACGCAAGAGCTACAGGAAATTGGCGACGCCTCATACGGAAAGGAAACTTTGCATCTGGCGGAGACACAAACATTCTAGGGATAAGTACTTTTTCACTAACACCGTTACCTGTTACGATTCTTGCCTCTATAACATGATTAGCCATCTGAGTAACAATTAACCTCGTACCATTGCACAAACCACCTTTAGGATCTATATTCCTTAGCAACATGATAGGGGCTCCCTTGTTCAATGTTAATTCATGCTTAGGTAATCCAGAAACATTTATACCGATTAAAAATTCCTGCGAGTATACCATATCGTTGAAAACACTCGTATCCGATGTTTCAATGGAATCCGAACTAAGATAACGCCTTTCTTCACCTATAATAATATTGATAAATATGTATAAGACACATGTAATCTACTATATTTATTTTTTAAAAAAGTATAGAATAAATACACGTAAACAATTATAATACACACCTGGTAGTTGAGAAAGCATATATTGATTGATTTTATCAACGTCTTCGTTCCTTGGACTAAGAATAGCTCTTCACTTAAAGAATTTTGGGTCATTCTCTTTAGCGAAGGATTTACCATAGATTTCATGAACAATTGCGTGGATAGGATCATCAGATGGTGTTATTAGTAAATCTTTGGGTATTTCTATTTCGACCTCGCCATCGTTTGGCTCGTTGATTTTCCCATCACCAATATCCAGGAGCCACTTTGAGAACTCGGCGAGAGCATCCGATTGCACGTTATTAACACCTTTTCGTAAGCGCATATTTTCTGTAAGCTTCAAAACTTTACAACTTGGCCAAAGCAACGATGAGTTTATAGAGGCCAAAACTGTTGCGACCCTACCACCTTCAGGAATTACTGGGAGAATCTGTCTAAAATCACCTCCCAAAACAACTACCTTACCTCCAAAAATCCTATTGCACTTCATTATATCTTGCAAAGTCCTATCCAACGTTTCAATACAATGTATGTTCATCATCGGAGCCTCGTCCCATATAATGAGTTGCGCTTCTCTAATCAATTCTGCTAGATCGGACTCTGCATCGATCCAACACACTGAATATTCGTTTATATTGATAGGTATACAGAACCTAGAATGAGCTGTCCTACCAGCTTCCAACAGCAAAGCAGCTATTCCACTCGATGCAACGTTTAGAACAATATTACCTTTAGATCGAATATCAGCTCCAAGTATACTCCACAAGAAAGTTTTTCCAGTACCACCAAATCCACGCACAAAAAACATACCACCCTTGTTTTGATTTATTGAGTAAATTATGTCTTGATAAACACGTCTTTGCTCTTCAGTTAACATAGCAAATAGTCTGTTGTATTTTGTCTTTTGTTCATGAGGCTTATAGTTTTTCTCATCCATGATAAGCCTATTTTCATTAGAATTTAGCACACTATCGTCTGGTGTTGGCATATTAGTGAAAAAAGAAAGGGAAGTACCATTCGAACGCATTAGCAATTCGATTTCCGACAAACATATGTTCCGTATTTGAGCTTGTGTTAACATAATACCTGCATTTCATTTTGTATAATAGAATTAATAATTTTTTTATCGAGAATTATTTATACCGATAATTGTAAAAAATATCTTATAAAGACATATATAAATAATAGAGCAAATATTTTATAAAAATTTCACTAAGATTTCGATGTACCTTGATCATTCATGCGGTTTTTATGAAGGAATAAAATATCTTCGCATAGTATATCTTTTGTCGCGAGCCAAAGATTGAGCGGAACATATACACTCTTTGAAATCAATAGTATCACAAATAGCTTCCTTAAGTACTTCCCAAAACACCAGAGACTTGCTTCTTTTATGGCTGAAATATATTATTTATCATCATCCAATAATCCTAATGCATAGCAAGCATCTTTAAATTCTCCATAAAAAACCCCGTTTACCGTTTTCAAGAATTCGAAGCTGGTCGCACCTGAAATTTTACTAAGCAAAATTCTTAAGTAAAAAGCATCCCCTATAGAAGGTGGTACGTACGTAATCCTTCCTATTGCAAAACTTCTTCTTTTCCTTGATCTCAGCTTCCACATTTTTTCTTTTTATACCATGCATAAGCGGTGGGAAATTTGGCATATGTTAACTTCCTAGCTTCAGGGTCAAGTCTATTGCATTCCATCCATGCTAAGAATTTGCTTCCTCCATTTGTTGAACGTGACATAACGTTTTCTATTGGATCATCCTCATTATAAATAACCAATTCCTGGCCAGGAATATGGAAGGGCAGTTTTTCAACTGGCGTTGTACGATAACATATCGGGGAAGCTAATATTCTCCATGTAGCTTCGCATGCTGATACATATCTACAGATACGCATGATTTAAGTATATTAGTGTTACCTTTAAATATAATAGAGTTATAATTTTACTATACGCACCTGCAGTTAAAATATTGTTTAATTTCATTTTCTTCATCCTCTTCTCCTACAGATGCTCTTATATAATCTGGTCCTTTGCTGATATATTTGAAAAGATATTTGATTGAACGTGACTGATTACACCACTCTACATTTATGTGAGCACGATAACGTATCGACAATTCTCGATTATACAGAATAACATATCTGTTGGCTAAGTCGAAACCTCTCTTCTGTACCAATCTTCCATCATCTCTTCGCCTGTATACTGGATAACCAGCATCATCTATCACAGTATTATCTACGTATGGCTTTGGAAAAAATTTTGTGCACTTACCATCCTTCATGCAAGGACTATCATTGTATTGACGTCCACAAGGCCCATGAATCATAACATCAGAAACAACTTCATATAAATACTTATCCACTTCTTTGTCCGGTATTTCAGCACTTATGAATTTATCTATGTCTTCTGTAGTGCGCATTTTACAATCCGGATGCAGAAATAAGACCATGTGAGCATGAGGCAGTCCCCTTTTTGAAATTCTATTGTATACATAGCTGCGTAAAAATCAAAACGGCAACGTAACTATATATATATATATTTTTTGTATAAGAATATTAATCAAATGTATATTAAAATAAGATAGTACCAGAATTCACCGTGCCGAAAGTTTTTTCTTTGGTGACTTGATGCATAAGCTTATCTAACTTCATTTTGAAAACCCGGCAACAAATATCTGGTCTATCCTCTTGTTTAAGACGATGTCTAGTAATATATCGCACAACTTCAGGCCACTTAGGATTGCAAGTGATCATTATGAAAAGGTCCGGGAAACCAAAGAATTTGTAAGTGGCCATTGCATCTAAATAATGTTCCATCATATACCGTTTTCCTACAGTAAACGACGAAGGTATGTAAATTCTTTTACCATGGTCTGAAAGATCAGTACGTCCTTTATCAGCATCTTCGAGTATCTTATCTATTCTTTCTGTCCGAAGTTTTTTTT